TTTTTGAGCAATTCAAAAGTTTAAAAAATGGAAATGTAGCAAACATCATGGCACTGCTTATGCTGCTTTCAAAAGGAACTTTGCTCAAAAATTGAATTTTTGGCAAATTTTGAAAGGCAAGACGCCGGGAAACGGGACCCTCCTGCAGGCCTCTCTTGGGGCTCTGTGGGAGGGAGTTTGGAATTCCTAAAGGGCCCTATGGAAAAAGTAAGAGAGGTGCGAACCCAGAAACGTTCGTACGCTAGTAACTTTATTATAGGGGATGAGCATTGAAGCAGGAGTTTCTTTATAATTCTTCACATTTTTGAATACTGCATGGGTAATGAAATGATTCCTATTTTTATCAACATAAGTGATATAAAGAGTTTAAAGAAAACTAAGGGCTCCACAACGGGACCCTCCTGCAGGCCTCTCTGGGGGCTCTGTGGGAGGGAGTTTGGAATTCCTAAAGGGCCCTATGGAAAAAGTAAGAGAGGTGCGAACCCAGAAACGTTCGTACGCTAGTAACTTTATTATAGGGGACAAGCTGGGGGTGCCCAGCCACACCTGGGCATCATGTTCAGAATTTTACAGAGAATTAAAAAATTCATTAATTTATTAGCCAATCAATATTTCAGGGTGGTATGCTCAAAATGAAGAGACGACTGTGTTATGTAGTGCAAACCTTGGCAAAATCAGGTGATCTTTTACATTGCCTCCCCCCCCCCCTTCCCCCATTGTTGAATCATATTGCACATTCAAGATTCAACAGTAGGTGTTCAAATTTTACAAATATTGTATTTAAAAGAAGTTCATAATCAAGAAAAGGTCACAGACTCAGGGATCAGTTGTGCTCAATGAACCACTGGTGTCCCTTTGGGTCACAACTCACATATAAGCAGGTTCTTTTTATGATCAAATATGAACTCCAGGTCCAGTGTTTAATGGCCTTCTCCCCCTCCACAAAATGAAATGCCTATTTTATTTTTTTGGTCCCCACCTCACATATTCTAATTTTTCATTAGCCAAACTTAATCAGTATTTCCAAAAAATGTACATAGAATGTTTGTCATGCTTCAGTTTTGGAGCTATGTTCTCTATCAAAAGGATTGTGGTCTCCAAATCACATATTCCAAAAATTGACGGACAATTTTTAAAATTTGGAAATGTGTAAAATATCAATTCCACAGTTTTTATGGGTGATATCACAAACTAAGGAGAATTTTTCAATCTTTTACAGGCATTAGCTTTTGCATTCAAGACATTCACCAAAAAAGCATGCTAATTGGCTTCTCCACTTGAAAAGTGTAATAACACAGAGGATTCCAAGGCAATTGGTGCCAAACAAAAGTCCCTGCCTAATATGTCTGCCTGTGAAAATCACATGTATCTTCATTGTTGTAAATTTTTACTTAGAAAAATGTAGCCCCCATACTTGCCTTAATGCCGCACTTTGAAAAAGGAAGCAAATTAAATCAGTAAAAATTCATGAGATAAAATTGTTTTTCCCAATTTTTGTGCAGTTTTCCAACACTTTTCTGCATTTTATATTGTAATTCAGTCAATTTTCAAGTTTTATAAAAACTTAAAATGAGAAAATGTTCGAAACATCATGGCAATTGCAAAATGGTTTAAAAAGTAGGTTTGGTGAGGAATTCAATGTTTTATAGATTTTTAAAATTGACAAAATGGTAAATAAAATTTTCAAGAAATCTCAGATTTTTCACTTTAGCTCATTTTAACTTTTTTTAATACTCCCTCCATAAACAAATGTTTACACAGCTGTGTGCACATAGATGTTTGAAAAATTAAAGTATTTTTAAATTTTAAATATGTTTAAAACTCCATGAGTTAAAATTGAAAAAGTGAAATTATTTCTTCACGATTTTTGTACGAATTTCAAAAATGTTTTTGTATTCTTTGCTGTATTTCTGTCAATTATTAGTCTTTTTTATTGTTTAAAAAAAGGAAATGTTGAAAATTGAATGGCGCGTGCGACATTTGAAAAAATTTGTGGTTTAATGATAAAGTCAATTTTTGCCAAATTTTTAAAGTGAAAAAAACGGGAAACGGGTTTTTCACCATTGTCCCGTTTTTCACTTTATCTCATGATAATTTTCTCTTGATTGATTCAATTTCAAATATTTTCAGAAGGTGAATGCACTTGGATGCTTTACAAATTTACATATTTTTTTCATTGTGAAATGTTGAAAACTCAAAAAGTTGAAAATACAAATGTAGAAGTATTTTTTCTCAAAATGTTCACGATTTTGAAAAATGTTTTGGGATTTTCATTGTAACTTTGTCAATTTTGAAGCTTTTTTAAAATTTGAAAAAGGGAAACACAGGAAACATCATGGCGTTTCTTTTAAAGTTTTAAAAAGTGCAATCTGTCAAAAATTCAATTTTTAACAAATTTTTAAAGTCAATGCGCTGGGAAACGCGACCCTCCTGCAGGCCTGTCTGGGGCTGGGTGGGAGTGAGGATAGGGGGCAAAACGAAAGGGAGCGCCTGTGAAAATTAAAAAAATGTGCGAACTACACGAAAGACGCAGAGACTTAAGTAACTTTATTAGGTAAGACGAGTTTTTATAACTCGTCCGTCAGAACACAATTTTTTATCCAAAAGATGTCCGTGAAACTCATTTGGATGAGTTTCGGACATCTTTTGGATAACTTCTTGCTCACTGGGATGCTTCAAAAACAATACTTCACTGAAAAAATACAAATAATTGAAAAAATTTGTGTCTTTCACTGTATACTACCTTGGGTCCCTCATGTTATTCAGTATTTCACTGTACTGTACAATGGAAGTGCCCACGCCGGGAAACGCGACCCTCCTGCAGGCCTGTCTGGGGCTGGGTGGGAGTGAGGATAGGGGGCAAAACGAAAGGGAGCGCCTGTGAAAATTAAAAAAATGTGCGAACTACACGAAAGACGCAGAGACTTAAGTAACTTTATTAGGTAAGATGATAAGTGAAAACTTTCCAGTTGCGGAGAGAGTTCTCCACGCATGTCACGAGCTGTTGAAACTTTTTCAGATTTGCAAAAAAAAAATTGAAAATTTTATGTTGATTTTAGCACAAAATTTCCTACGTTTTCTAAATTTTCTAAATTTTTCTGATGATTATTTTGTTTGCAACAAATGAAAACCAAAGTCTATTTTACATTCTTCCAAGAGCAAGGATTCATTTCAACTTTTTTTTTCCTCTTAACATTCAAGACTTGGTTTCTGCCTGTGATATTTTTCCCATTACCAAGCAGTTTTATGAAACTTCTATTTATAGTTTTATGTATTATTATTTTCACTGGAGGGAAGGAAAATGTGGGTGAGGAGCAGAATATGCGCAAATGAGGAAAAAATCGGGTGATGAATGGGGGAAAGGGACAAGATCTAACGGGACTTGGGCAGACATTTCCATATCTTGCTTTCTGACCTTGACGCAGATGCTTGCAAAAAATATAAATAATGAAAAATATCCAGAATTTTTGTAAAATTTTGAGGTGGTTGAAAAAATATCACGTGTTTTTTATTTACCGAGAAAATTCAATGATTTCATGAAGATTGTTTTTGGTGCTGATGCATGTTTCTTGTTTTTTGTAGGCGATTACCGTTCAATTGTAGAACATGCCCGAGACGTGACATGGCGCCGAGTCAAGTACTCAAACTTCCAGTTACCTCTGGTTGAAACCGATATAGCAAATGTCCAGAAAGGGACTCGAGTAAAGGACAGTGACCTCAACGAAAAAGGAAATGTGGAGAAAGGAGGAGAGGAAGAAGAAGAAGCTTTGATTGTGGAATTCAAGTTACCTTCTTCCACGTATGCCACTATGGCCTTGAGAGAGGCCATGAAATTGTCGAGTGCTGTCATGACTTCGAAGAGGAATTGATGGGCTGAAACTCGTTTTGTTGCCTCCTTTTTTTTTTTTTTTTTTTTTTTTTTTTTTTTTTCTTTTTTTGTTTTTTTGTTTTTTTTATTTTGTTGCCTCTTTTTTTTTTTTTTTTTTTTTTTTTTTGCGGATGTGAAAGTTCGGGTGATTCTTTTTAATTATCGGAAGTCGGCCCAGTTGCTGCTGAACTCGTGCTGTCTGCTTTCAAGCGAGAAGTGATTCAGATATTTTATTTTTTTTCCGGAGAGCTGGCAGGCTCTTGGCTTCATAGTTTTAATCGAGAAAGACCGGTTTTTCAGAATTATTTTCAACTGCTACTCGTGGGGAAATGTGTTCAAGTGCCTGTTTATTGGCTGTGCAAGAGCCTGCAGTTTTCTGGCATAAAATTAATGGGCTTCCGTGGAATTTTGGCGCTTTTTGCTTCGCTACGGTGTTCAAAATGACGCTTTGCAGTGAGAAACATTGAATTACCGTATTTACTCGAGTAACACACACTTTTTTTATTTTCAAAATTTAGAGGAAAAAGGGGGTCCGCGTCGTACGCCCGGATTAAATTTTCAAAAAATGTTAGGTGCGCATCACACTTGAATTTAATGGGAAATTTTTCATAGGGACTTTTTAAAAAATCAAGATGATTGTAAATTAATTGAATTCAGGTTGAATTTGAATTCTGGTGTCTTTCCTCTTTGAAATATTGTAGTTTTTCTGTCACTGAAAATGCGGTGCGTGTCCTACTGGCGTGTGGTACTTGATTAAATATAGTACATCCGAGTCCTACGTTTAAAAATCAGAAAAATTTATCTGCTATTTCGAGAACATGCTAATTCATGCCCTAGAAATGAACTATTAAAAAATACTGTAAAAATAAAAATTTGAAAGTTTTCATGCTCTAGGAAAAGCGGGTCTTCCATGTTTATTTTCCCGCGTAAATCTTCGGTTTCTTCAAAATAGCCGTAATCCAAATGATACAAACAGGCATGGCTCAGATGGATAAGTGACAAAAGCTCGCTTGAAATTTCCGTTCCGCTGCACAGTGATTTTTTTTTTTTGGACACCGTGTGGTTGATGGTTTATTGCGTTGACTTGAGAGAAGACTCGTTTATCACGTCTGAAATGTTCTCCTAATGACGCTTTTTCGTCATCAGAGATGGCTGCGTGTCGCGCGCAGGTGCTGAAACTAGCACGTGCTCTGAACAGAGTGCAGAGTGTGAGATGTTGCAGCACCAGGAGTCCCGCGTTGACTGCTTTGCCTGAAGAGGATGTCATGATGAGGGACATGGGTGAGTCACGACAGATGATGATTGCGACTCGTCTCACCTTCATTTGAAAAAGGGGGGCCTTGGCGAACAATGCTTGTGGAAGCGATTCATCTTCTTTTGTGAAGAAATAGAGAAAATTCGAAGTGAATCGCTGATGATTGCTTTTCAAAAATAAAGGGAGGTTTGTGTTGAACAGTTGCAGACTTTTTGACGGTTGATGCAAACTTGCGCAAGAATATTCTTGGACGAAAGAAAGGGATTCAAGTTAAATTGAGGTGTTTCTCCTAAACAAAAGTAATTTTATTTCCTTGCGCTTATTCTTACTGTTTTTATTTTTAAGGAATTTGATAAGTTTCTTCTTTTTCTAAAATTATTTCAGCATTGACAAGTCAGATTATCCAGTTGAAAATGAAAATTTTCCGAGTTAGTAAATGTCATGTCTGGTGTCTTGCTGCTGCGTGAAAATGTTTTTGTTTTTGTCGTGACAAATTTTGATTTAATCCTTTTTTTGTTCTGTTTTAGCGACGAAATTCGCCAGAGAGAAAATCCAGCCCCTTGTGATAAAGATGGATGAGGACGAGAAGTTCGATCCCGGGATGATTAAAGACCTTTTTGAGAATGGGGTGAGTGTAGAAGAAGCTGCAAAGCTGTTTCAAAAATTGTCACTTCGTGTGCTTACCTGAGTCTATATCCTTACCAGTCCTGACCTGGCCTAAGAAACCGCGATGTGGGTTAGAAGAAATAGCTGTATTCGAGTATCAAGTAATAAGAAGAAAATCACATAGCTTTGGACTCGTGTTCGATGAAAAAATTAAATTTTAAAAATCACGCCCACACTGGTCATTATATTTTTATTTAAAATTCAGGCGACACCTGTGTGACAGCAAAGAAAAAACTGTGGGGCGTTGGAATCAGAAATAATTCATCAGAATCTCTCTTCCATTCTTTCCCCTCCTCAGTTCATGGGATTGGAGATTCCAGAAGAGTTTGGTGGAGCAGGCACATCGTTCTTCCAATCCCTGCTGGTGATTGAAGAAATATCTCGAGTTGATCCCACCGTTGGCATCCTCGTGGACATTCAAAACACGCTCATCAACGCGCTGATTTCATCGTTGGGAACCAAGGCGCAGAGAGAAAAGTATCTTCCGAGGCTGGCCCAGCAAACCGCGGGGTCCTTTTGTCTCTCTGAGCCCGAATCGGGTTCTGATGCATTTGCCATGAAAACTCGTGCCGAAAAAGTAACCGGAGGATACGTTATCAATGGGTGGGTTTATTATTATTTTTTTTGCGTTATTGGAAGTTTTTTTTTTTTTTAAAGCCACTCAGCAGCAGCCATGAAGTC